TTTGTCCAATTACACTTCAATAAACTGTCATGTAAGCACAACCAGAGATGCTGTGCACAAAATCCATAAAACTCCTCACTGAGGACAAAAGTTGAAGTTGCTGACTGGCTCAGGACTACTCCATCTTAAATTCTGTGCCTGGAGTTTATTTCAAATTAATCAAGTAGCACTATTTTTTTTCCCTGAAGATTAAAGCAATACAGTATCTAGTGATATATTAACTTAATTCAAATATGAAACAGTCAAATCCCTGCATGAATTTAAATTTCTACTAAAATAAAATATGTATTAAATTCTGAAAATCGGGCATAAATGCTTTATTCCTAGAATTTCTTTTTTTCCTATGGGTTCAAAACAGAATTTAGGGGTCTTAGTCTTGAACTTTATATTGCTTTTTACAACAGAAAATTGCAACATGTTTATGAACAATTTTGTCAGTTATGATGAATTCTGAAAACTTGATCTTTAGAAATAAAATAGCCACAAAACACACATCTGCAAACTCAGATGATTTCCTTTAACACAACTGCTTAAACTGGAATACTCTCAATAACTAATTTAAATAGGAAAGCTTCTGCAATTCAGTTCAATTGTCCCAATTATTGTCTGTTTGCATCTTTCTTACATATTTCTTATTTTTTAAAAAATATTAAACACTGCATATAGAGAAATAAAAGAGAGAAATGCTTGCCTGAACATTTTGAAATGGATTCTTGTCACCATAGGATTCACTGAGGTATGTGAAATCATCTATGCTAAGCTGAAAAACAAAGAGTAGGTTGGTGAGAAGGAGCCATGGCATAGCATTTAGGCACAGACTTGTGCTCAGCACTGGTGAAAGAAAAGGAATCCACGTTACATACCCTATCTTGCAGGAACAAGACGAGGTTTCTGGATTTCTGGGTCAAAACAGGCTGCAAGAGTACTGTCAGCTCCTGTGCTGAGATAATGTGTCCTTCATGCATAGTAGTGTCTGGATTCCACTGTGATCTACAAAGAAATAATTTTTTGGTTTTGTCAGATTTGCTGCCAATGATGACACCTCTTCTTTCTTTAAACATGCAGCAGCAAGCAATGATATCATCATCATGTTTAGATTAAGATCAAGTTTACAGTTCAGTTTACTTTCATTCTACTCAAGAGAAAAACAACTTGCCCATTTATGCCCATATCACATTGACTGTGTTAAAGAAGGAATGAAATTGGTCTAGTCAGTGTAATGTCTCTATTTTCTTGTTCATGTACAACAGCACAGTTACAACTTTCAAAAAAAATGTTAGCTACTAAATGGAATGAAGAAGAATATGCTGAAAACCTTGGAAAGAATTCCCAGAGGGAATCCCAAGTCCCAAACCATTTTGCAGTACCAGCAGACATCTTGGTGGCAGAAAGAATTCCCAGAGGGAATCCCAACTCCCAAACCACTTTGCAGTACCAGCAGACATCTTGGTGGTCTAGAGGACTAGAACTCAGACTAGACCACAAGTTGTCATAAAACAGTATTTATTTATAAACCTTTTGTTAAGCAGTGTCTTTTCACTGTTACTGTAAACATATTCTCTCCTAAGGTTTTCATGGTGAAGGAACCATTCTACAGAAGGTGCTCAGAAGCAGGAGCTTTTCTGAACAGAATGGCTCAAGACACCAAGAAAAGCTTACAACTATTTTGCCAACCTGTCATTATGAGGACTGGACATAGAAATAGCTCTATTTAGTTTTGCTGCTACAGAAAACAGTTATGGGCAAAACAGCAGGTAGCATTATTCTTTCAACACCTGATTGGGATTTTAACACTATGCAACATGGGTCTATAGGGATGAAATATGTTATGAAAATTTTGGTCCTAGGTGTTTACACTAAGGAAAATTGTCTGTAGAAAACCCAGAGTTTGAAGTATAATCTCCCATCTTTACCCAGATACACATTAGTTGCTAAGGCATGAGAAATCAGGTATTCCAGGCACCCAAACTGGTTCTAATGATGGATAACTGAATCCAGAGAACTGCTGTGTGTTGTAGTCTCAGCTATTATATTATTGCAATATGATAAAGTTGAGATGCTGATTAAATTTTCTAACCCAAAAGCAGTTTGAAAATGACCCTTGAACAGCAAGCTTTTATGAATGAGAACAATCTTTGCAGTCCTTTCAGATGGAGGCAGAGCAGGGTTAATGAACACATGGGAGGGTTCAGTGTTGTTTCTTGGATAAGGAAAAATCTATATTTCACTCAAAGTCTTCCCAGTAATTCCAATGCAGATTGCTGAAAGTGAATTAAAAGCCACAAACTGCACTCATGGCAGAGATAAAACCAGTGCAGTCCCACAGAACTAGAAGATACCTAGCTCACTTCAGATTTTGGGGTTTACAAGAGTGTAAGAGCAAACTGTGCATGTGAATGACTCCTTCAGAACAACATGCTACAGATGTCAAAATTAAATTCTAGTCAATCTTCTGCCTGCCACTTTTTAAGCTAGAAAGCTTTTCTATTTGGTTGAAATTGTCATTTGATACTTTCTTAGTTTTACTCAGCATCTTCACTTCTTTGTTAATTTGTGCTTGGAAATACACATTAACTTCTAATTATGAAGTCTAAGAAATCTTAACAGTTATGACTCAACTGAAAGTTGAAAAGTCAAATCTCACAATTTCAAAAATATAAGTTTAATCTTTTAAAATAATATATTCAAAACTACAAAATCTCCCAAGGTTCTGAACGACTCACTTTCATGCTGACTTTGTGCATGGCATTCCCATAACAAAATATTAATGATACCAAAGAAAAAGAAGACAGATTAAATTAAGAGATGTTAAAAAAGAAAATGATACTGGATATCTTGGTATATTTATTTTAAATATAACTAAATGAATCCATTTCATGCCTAGTCTTAGAAAAAAACCCAAACATTTTGAGAGTTTGAGGACTTGCAATTAAGAACAAAAGGTAATAGAAAGCACATCAAACAAACGTAAATTATTTGCAGCAGCACAATGGTAAAGGCTTTTGTTGTGAACTCAAATCCTCAGAAGTTTTAATGATCCTCTTTTAAAGCACACTTGTTTCTAAGGATTTCCCTGTTCCTTGAAGCAGCTCTTACTAGCTATCTAACCTTGAAAACACCTTTTGTAAGACTTTTTTAACTTTCAAGCAGTCAACTTTAGTAACTTCATCATTATCATCATAAATAAAAATCTATGTCAATTAGTAATATATAAATAATTCTATTACAATGCAGCATTTGCCTAATAATTAGATTCACAATACTATACATGCATTTATTTTGTTTCTTTTAAATAGTTTGCTGAGCCCTGTGCATGGCAGTACATAAGGCTAGACTCTTTACTGAGGGAGCTGCTGCTGTCAGCTGGTTGGAACAATATTCTCACTGTGGTTCAGAGAGGAAATAGAATCATAGAATCATGTAGGTTGGAAAAGATCTCTAAGATCATCAAGTCCAGACATTAAACTTGCACCGCCACATCCACGACTAGACCATGTCCCTAAGTGTCACATCCACATGTTTTTCAAACACCTTCAGGGATGGTGACTCAAACACATCCTTGGGCAGCCTGTTCCAATGGCTGACCAATCTTTCACTGAATAAATTTTTCCTAATATCAAATCTAAACCTCCCCTGACACAACTTGAGGCTGTTTCCTCTCATTCTGTTACTTGCAAGTTGGGGGAGACGTCAACCTCCAGCTCATCACAACCTTCTTTCAGGTAGCTGTAGGGAGCATCAAGGTCTCCCCTCAGCCTCCTTTCCTCCAGGCTAAACAATCCCAGCTTCCTCAGCCACTCTTCATAAGACTTGTGCCCTGGACCCATCACTAGCCTCGTTGCCCAGTCAGTACATTTTTCTGGCCGGTTTGCTTCAGAGTGAAATGGGGATATATTAGTACCACAGATAGTGCATCTTAGATACACTGATGGTGTGCTTTACTGAATGCAATCAACCAGTCCATCCCTTTGAAATCTTCACCTCAAGTGATCAGCAAGAGATCACTATGGGTGATCACAGGGTGAAACAGGCAGTAGCCAACACACATATTGATTGCTATTACTGATTGCTCACACAAACTTTTATGTCCCTCCTGCAGTCACCTGCACGCCAAGTGCCTCAGACTCCCCACTGCAGAACCACCCATGGGTCCTCAGCCATGGGGGCTCACAAAGACAAGCATCTCTGCTACAATGAATGTTCTTTCCTGCACATAAGTTTAAGGAAACTTAAGGAAGCTTTAAGGAAACTTAAAACTCAACCTCTCTCCTTCCTCCAATAACCAGACAATGCACTAAAGAAAGAAAGAAAAGCAAGCTTAGCCTGCTATTTTGCTTCTCTCTTGTACCTCACTGCTCTGACATGACAACATTAAGTATACAGATTCTTCTCTGAACAGTGTTCTTTCTGGAATTTGAGTAATCATGTTTGATGGAAGCAAAGATTTCAAGATTTCCTGTATCTGGACCCACCAGGAGGGCTGACGGTGAGATAACGAGACTTCTATCACTTTGACTTGTGAGTTTACATTTTTGCTTTGTAGCTGACTTCTGAAACCTTTCCTACAAATTATTCTTGTTGGTTGTCTCTGAGTCACCTTGTGATTACCATATAGGAAATCATATTTTCTCCTGCACAGCAGAAGTAAACTGACATTGATACCGGCATACAGTGTCTCCATAGGTGTCCAGTAAAGTTACAGCTAAAAGATTTTCTGTTCCACTGTATCTCTTTTATATTTCACCTTCTTCCAGCAGATTTTTCAGGACATTCCTTGAAGTGTTAGGAAATGATGCAAATGTACTAATTGGCATTAACACATTCTCAAAGTTACTTATAATCTCAGTTTGACAGAAAAGGATTCATTTCCCTATATAAGAATAGCATAAATGAAGGCAGTTATATATTTGCAATGTAGGCAAAAATCAGTCCTGAAACAAGCACATGAGGGGACAATCATAAAAGCTAATTTTAATGAATTTCTTTCCCCCCTCTCTTATCTGTGGAGGGAAAGAAATTCTTTTGAATATTGGTTCAAAATGACTAAATCAAAATTCTTCTGTGTGTCATATGCAAGAGGAAACTCTCAATCTCTCCTGTTTTGAAAAACAACCAGGGAATATTAGTTTAAATGCTGATTTAAGATAAAGGTCAATTCTTCCATGCCAAAGTTACTTGGATAATATTCAGTGATATATTAGTATTCCTTTGTGAAAAGCAGGACACTGTGCCCTACTGAGTTATTCTCAAGTTTAATGGAAAAAGATTGTTGTTTTTTAAAACCACTTACTTTTCTGCAAATGGAGATCTGCATTTTACTTTCTAGAGGAAAGAGCTATTTGATTTAATAATATCTCTATAAGGATTGATATCACACTTCCCTTATGCTTTGCACACTTCATGTGTTTGTCAGCTGCAGGTTTCATCTCCCTGGAGTCTAACATTATCTTTAATAGCATGATTACAGTACAATAATAATGCATTAAAGAGTCTTTAAATCGTTACATTCTCTAATACAGCTGTCCTGAAATATGGCTTTACAAATTCTGGCTAGTTCTAAATAAGAATAAAATGTAGTATCCTTCAGCTATTCAATATCAAGTCCTAACAGATAACCTGGAAAAGTATGATGGAATAGATCAGTGAATCTCAATCTGTGTTGATCAATGAATAACTAAATTTTAAGCTGGTGGGACATGCTCCTACAAAGTGCATAGAAATATACTGATAATTGCTACACTTCTGTTTCCAGATTTCATAGGCCTGTAGAGCACACACTGCAAACCTTGTATAGCTGCAAAGCACCAAGATGTAAAGCTTGAAGTTAAGGGTTAGCAACCAAACGTTGCTGTTAGTGGTACTTTATGATAAAAAACAACAGCAAACTTATTTTCAGTTGCTTCATTGACCTTCACCAGAACTAATTTAGTCCTCACAAGAACTTCTCCTTTCAAAATGCAAACGTCATGGTAGGAGGAACACATCTTCCAGAAAATGTTCTGCTCCTGGAAACATGAAACCAGCTTAAGCAGTCCTCTATCTTGATTTTCTTGTGCCGGATTTGTATAAACCAGAACAGTCTGCAAAAGAACAAGCTGCTAATTGCATCTCGATGGAAAGTTTGCTTTTATGACCATGCAGGATTAACTGATAAGATTTTGTTTATATGGACAGCAGGAGTGTTGTTGATATAAACTAGGAAGTAGAACAAAGGAAGCACTGTTAGGCATTTAGGATCACTTGTATCCTAAGAATAGCTTTTCCCAACATCTACTTTGCTTTTAAATACAGAGGTTTAGTACTCATACATGTGCCTGTCACATAGGGGTGAATCACTCAGTATTTTGAACATAAAAAAAAAGCCTTGGGGTTGAGACATCCATTTATTTCTTTCAGGAGGAAATTTTTTTAAAAAAACTCAAAGCTACCAAATCAATTTTTTTTTTCAAAATTGGCAGATTTCTACATGCAGTGACTTCCCAAGGACCAGAGTTTCAGCTTTTGGAAATGCAGAAGGGATAAGTGGGCATATGTCAAAGGGGTAAATAAGTAGGCCATAGCCTTCTGACAACTTTACATATCCAGTATCCACCTGAGGCTGCTGCATCACCCAACCTGCTGTATTTCTGGAAATCCCAAGTAATTACACAAAATCCATAAAGTCTGCATGAATAAAATTCCAGTTTGGAAAAAAAAAGAGGTCTATTTCTAGTTCTTTTTAGACAGGTTCAAACTCTTATTTCATAACTATATGCAAAGCCCTGAGTTTCATGTGTCTCTTTGGATCTGTCAAGACTCTGCAGTTGTTTCTAACAACTGATGCATATACATACAGCAGTGTATTTAAAAAAACTGTATTAAAAAGAGCATTAAAGTGAAAAGTCAGGGTTCAGGAGTTAGGAAATGCAAGGATTAAGGTTGTCTGCAAAGGTTTTGGTGAACTCCTTTTTGTGACACTGCCTTAAGTCGTGCCTTTAAGTTACAATGTCTCTAAGAGTGGCGTTCAAGGATGCCTCAGGGTGAATAAAGCGCGTGTATTTCAGATTTTTAGAATACGAGTATTACTTTTTTCTGCTGAGATTAGAACACTAAAATTGTAAATAAAAAATGGGTACATGAATATATTAGGTTTTTTGATGGCCAAGAGGCAGATTTATCTATTGAACTATTTTATTGCCCAGAGCTGATTTACCAGACTCACAATATGTTCTGCACAGACAGAGAGAGCAGTAGCATAAGCAGGGATACACTTTTACTAGATTCCTTACCTCTGGGTTGACCAAAGCAGCATCGGCACATGGTCCACTGACAGAGACGTTTGGACCAGCACGGCGAGGGTGCAGAGCAGCGTGGCTGGAGCAGCAGAGTGAGGCTGTGCCATGGCTCCGGGCGAGCGCAGACAGAACTGGCCAGCAGCAAAGGAAAGTCCGAGCGTGTGCACAGCTGCACTTCCCGGTTGGATTGCTGTTATCCGGATTCAGCCAGGCTGCTGGGTGACGCAGGGGGAATTTTCAAAACATGAACTTCCTTCATTTGAACTTGGAAGTTGTACATATTCTTAATACTTTCAGTTTGTGATTTAAGCAGCTTATAAATCTCTCTGCAGTGTAAGCATAGACTGTTTCCTCGACAATTCTTATGCAAGGGCCAGTCATTAAGTCCAAACTCCTGTGCTACACAGGCTGATAACAGAGTTGTGCAACTTCAAAATGGAGTTTATAGAAAAGTTTTCTGTACTGCACAAAATGTATGCTGTAGAACTTCTATCTTCTTCCCCTGCTGCATATTATCATGTCCCTCAGCTTAGTTCTTTCACATGTATTGAGAGCTGGTGTCACACATTTGGGTGTTGACAGGTTTGAAATCTGCAATAAATCTAACCATTGCAGATTCCAGCAAGAAGGAAGAGAGAGAGAAAGTGGCACATTCAAAGTGTATCCACTGAAGTATGGAATTGTTAAACTATCTTCTGCATGGAGTGATGCTATCCCAAAAGTCAAAAATATCAAAAGTCAGGAGGAAATTATAATCACTTCAGAACCTGACATGACTTCAGTATTTCACAAGTCTCATGCAAGATCAAAATAGTCATAGAGAACTCCTTCATGCCAGGAAGCAAATTCCTCCGGCACACTTTTTTGTGCGTGCCAAACTCTGAGCTGTTTCTACACCTTGTGACTACATTAGGCAGTGCAGTCTCCAGGCATGTGTTTGGCACTGGCCACAGATGCCTCTTCACAATCAGAACAGGATGTTAGAGATCACAGACAAAAGAAATTTTGAGCTATGTTAAAACAAGTTGTGATAGGAGAAAAATAAGGAAGTGCAATGAAAAATTGTACAAGAAGACACAAACAGATGTCAGAAGACATGCATGTCTGAACCTGAGCACAAGAGCTGGATCAATTAAATCCATTTGCCTTAACTCACAGCATACTGCTATTGTGCAGTTCACTAGTATAAGGCAATTTGTTCATCAATTCAATCTGAAATCATATTTCTGAGACAAAAACAATAATTTTGAGGGAGGCAATAAACATCTACATGCTTATTTTCTTTTCCATGTTGCCTTTACATAACACAGAATTTAACTCTTTAAGTGAACTTTTTCCTCTTCTCCTCTGAGACACATTAGAAATCCTTTCTCTTCCCTTTAACAAGCGAGTATTTGTTTGTCTGTTTAAGGGTGTGTACAAGTAAGACAGCACTCCAGAGCACAGAGGTAGAAATGGAACTAGCCAGAGAGGATAAAGGAATGACAGAATTTCCAACAAAACTTTCAACTTTGCAGAACCTGCTAGATTTGCAGTTACAGTCTAGAGAAATAATGCATTACTACTGCACTTTTATCCCACTATGCTCATGCCTTCTCAGAAGGTGATTCCTTTCATTTTTTAGCTTGCAATGCCAAGAATCTTGCTTTGTGAAACAGAGCAAGAAAGCAGTATATATTACTATTCTTCTAACATGAACAAATGAACAGTAGGTTCTATAGGGTCTCCTCCATTACTAACAGAGTTGATAAATATAACCAACAGTGCCAAGATTTCTACATCAGAGTAAACCCTCAACAATCTGATCTGAATGTAAGGAAATAAAGAGCACAAGTGTATAGTGTTTTACAAATACGTGTTGTAAGCTGACAGGAGCCTCACTACAAGAGCAAATAATTCATTACTAATTATTTTAAATGGGTGAGTAGTTCTCAACTCTATCATTACGGAAAATTTTCATAGGGCTAAAGCATCTAGTCCATTTCAAAAATTCCACTGCTGGCATGTGGAGCTTCTTTTACAAGTTCACACTCGACAGCCTGGATGAAAAGCCTAAGTCATGTAAGAGATTCCTCATTTCCTGCATCCAAAATGGCTGACTTAAAAGTAAGCAAATGAAAATAAAAGGGAAGCTAACACAAGGGAGAGAATTACAAAAGAAATGTATGTTGTCCCTGTCTCTTTTCAGCTGATAATATCTCAAAAACTAGATGATCACTTGGCCTGAGCAGGATCTTTTGAAGGGTATTTGCACACACTAACCAAATTACACACTGTTGCAAAAGCCTAACTATAGGCCCAGTGCCATAATAGTCTACAGGTCTGGTTGCATTCAGAAGACCAGTCAGGCTCACAAAGAGCATGGTTTATTGAATGCAACATACACGGTTAGTTTGGATTGCTGGTGACAAATGCGTTAGCTGCAGAATAGCTATATATAGCACTAACAATGTAATTGAAATCACAAGCTTAATTTCCTGGATCAACACTCAGCACAGCCAAGGACTCATGACTTACCAAAAGGTGTCCCTTTTGGGGAGGGTGAGGAGGACAAACCCGTCGATCTGTCCCTTCAAATTTCGTATTTTTGTACCTTATTAGCCACTCTTGTGCAAAGTGCTGTGGGTGGGACTGTGGTCAAACCTTCCGTTCTGTGCAGTTGTGTTGTATGGAATATTTCTTGGTAGGAGTACAAAGCATTTCTGGGCAAGAAGTAGAAGAACAGGACCACGTGGTTTCTACCCATTTCCTGTTCCTCCCCCATGCCATGGCAACACAAACCACAGGACCTCCATCCGCTTCCCATATATGCTTCGATCACTGTGGGCCACATCATCACGTGGAACTTTGCATTATCTTCCCCATTATATGCTTCCAACAGACACAAGTGAGACGCACAGTTGGTGGGTGTACTCTCTGTATTCTGCCTTATGGAAACAGTCTCAAAACTTCTTAGAACAAAAAGAGATTTTTTTTCTCAGATTACCTTATTACTTATGAAAAACTTTTGACCAAAACCAAATTGACTTTTCCTTTTAATAACTCTTCACAAACCACAGTTTGGGAGCAACTGAAGTGAAGAAAGCTTTGAAAAAAAGGAATGAGAAGAATCTATTGAGTGGGATTTTAATTCGCCTCCTTTGGTAAATTTTGTATGCAAATGTACAGCATATATTTTCTCCTTTCTTTTTCTTCACTCCTAAAAATAAAAGGGTATTTTGCCAAATGATAAGGAAAAATACAACTATTTCAAAGAGATTTTTCAAAACTATTCCTTTATTGCATTTAAGTAAAATTAGATGAGATCACAGTGGTTCTTTTATCTGTGAGCAGGAACCTAAAAACCCTCTTGGTTAATGTCTGTCAGTATACACAAAAGCACACACAGTTTATAGTTGCCTTTTCCACAGGGTTTTTCCTTGGAAACCCGTAACAATCTTGAGTCCAGGAACTGCTTGCACATGAAGATTTTTTTACATGCAGTGAAGATTCAAAATTGAAAATCAGACTACTGGGAAATCATTACGAAATGGCAATGAAGAAAAAAATACCTCCATTACCATGTATCTCCACTTAACTAAAATAGTTTTATTAAGAGAAGGTATAATATTGACATACCATGTATTTGCATTGTAGTCCTATCCATTTCTCTGGATTTATATATGCTTTCCTTTACAAATGTATGCCTATCTCATATCCTACGTATTTCTTATCCTGTCAAAGTTGAAATATGGGACTCAAAAAATAATTGGATAGAAAAGTCACAGATGATGGAAGCCCAATGTCTTTATCTTATGATCTGTTCTTTTAAACAAACAAACAAACAAAACCTTACCAAAACTCTCAACTTCAGAATTCTGCATTCCTGATGTAAAAAAATTTAGAATAAAAAGAAGTGTGAATGGCGAAGGCAAATTTAGGCCTGTAAATCAGGCTATAAGGGATGACTGCTGTAACAAGCACAACTGACAGTACACGTTAAGCTAGAATAACTATCTATACATAGGTGACAAAAATAAGTCCCATCTGTTTTGTATGCAAATTTGATCCTTAAGCAATAGATAACATGGCATCACGACCGGAGGAATGGTTGCCTGGCTCCAAACAACCAGGTGGGATACTGGTGGGGGAACAGGCTGAGTTCTGTGTGTGGTGGCAGCTGCTCCACCCCAACTATCCCCTTGAGCCTAAAAGGTAACCGCCACTCACGCCGTAACGTGGCAGTTGACCACGTGGCCTTGCTGCAAGCCCTGAGATAGATGCAAAGCTCCTGGCTCTGCCTAACCTAAAGGCACAAGTGTGACCTCACACTGGGGAGAGCCCTGGGCAAAGGGAATGGATAAAAGGACAAGACGTACTGTCTAGCACGGTCCGCTACCCTGGATTCAAAGCTGCTGAGACTATGCTGGATCCACTGGTGGTAACCTCCTCTCTCTTTTTCTCATCTTTCTCTTTTTCTCTCTTTTTTTTTTTTCTCTTACCTTATCCTTTTCAATATATAAATTGTAAGCTACACTGAGAAGTATCCTCTTAATGACTCCCTGAGTGCTAGACGTACTGTCTAGCACGGTCCGCTACCCTGGATTCAAAGCTGCTGAGACTATGCTGGATCCACTGGTGGTAACCTCCTCTCTCTTTTTCTCATCTTTCTCTTTTTCTCTCTTTTTTTTTTTTCTCTTACCTTATCCTTTTCAATATATAAATTGTAAGCTACACTGAGAAGTATCCTCTTAATGACTCCCTGAGTGCTGTAATCAGTGCCCGGCTAAGGCCTTGGTTCTCCATGGTGTGCTGAGTTAAAGTTTGCACTGTGTTTGGGGGCTGTGAAGTTTACTGATTTATCTTTTGTCTAGTGACTTATTCCACCTGGATGACCCAAAGTTTCTAAGTAAAAATCATTTCTTGCGATGCCTCCTGAGAATTGCATTATTTCTCCCATGCACCACACAGAGTAATTCTAAATTACCTTCCCCTCAATCTTCTGAGTGGACTAGGGCACTACACATGGTAGTACAGCGGCATATTAAAGAACTTCTTCTCCCAGCTCAGATAATAGACATATTAAAATTTAAGGTCTTAAAAAAATTTTCCAGTCTTTGGATTATTTTTGTTTAATCTAAATTACTATTAGTATCATCTCCTACTGAAAAAGTATTTTCCATATGCCAAATAGGAGTCAGCAAATACTTTGCTACCCTTATGTATTTAATTTATAATCCTGCTTTGTCAATGTTTACATTTTATTATCTAAGAAGGGAACTAATGCTTTGTTTGTTGGGACATCTTTTTGGGCCAAGGAGGTGGAAGAAACAATTACTCTGAGTTCTTCTTCCTTTGAGACGAAAACAGAGAAATTTACATCCTGGACAAAGCATGAATTTTTTGGGGAGTGAGGAGGCAAAACACATGTATTTCCTTGCAAATTACCATATTACTTACTTGTGCATGTGGGAAGTAAGCTAGAAGCATTCCCTCTGGAAATGGGTTTCCACCGGTGGTGGTGGTGGATAGAAGGCAATTTTTGCTTCATGCTCTAAAATTCCTGCTCGTAGGAGTCCTGGGAGGTAAGCAGTAGGTGTTGATTGGCCACAATCTCTGCCTGGGAGAGAATTGAATCAAACCCAGCATCTCTCACTAGGCTTTCAGTAGTGTTTCAGGAGTGTGGATTCCTAGTGAGCTCAACCTCTAAGCTATGATTTAAGAGACTTGTTAAGCTTGTCACTTCAGCCACTTTTCGAAAGAGAATAGAGAAGGTTAGAATTTCACCTCACAGCCTATTCTTCAAAGAGGTACTGACAGTTCGCAGTCATTTGTTCTCATTATCCTGGAAGTATCTATATAGCTCCAAAGCAGAGGCCTTTTTACCAACAGATTCCAAAAACATCTTGTGAGTAACTCTGAAATTCAAGCAAAGATGATCAGCAGTGCTTTTAAAGAATTTATTCAGTTCTATTAAAAACTGGCAGGTCCGACCCTTTATCAGAACAGTTTTCTTTTCCTGATAAAATGCAATGACTTCTCCTAGAAATGCAGTATCTGTACTCTGACTTTGATCTTTTCAGTTACCTTTTCCAGTATTTGCCACTGTCTGATACAGAGAACACTTACATTCTTCATACCTGTCCAGTACTTTTTTTATATCATATGTAAGCAAGATAAAAAGGTGAAGCAATACAGTAACTATTAGAAAAAAGTTTTGCATTCATTCCTTTTCAAAATGCAATACAATTATAAATGTTATGGACAGAAAGTGGTAAAAAAATCATTGGTTTTAAATTCAGTAATATCAACAAAACATCTATAACAATCAAAATGAGCAATTAAAAATCTAACATGAAGGATTTTCTGATACTTTCAATTATGATACATATTTTTTAAAACTTAGACTATTTTAATTATGTTGGCTTTACATCTTTTCTCTAACAAAAGAACTCAGATATCCAAAGTATTGAAAATACTTTTTTCCATTTTGCAACAACTCTCTTTCAACATGTCCTCCAAGACTTTCATTTTCTATGCTTTCAAAAGCCATTTGAAGGGCTAGATTAGTTTTTACTTTATACAGGTAGATACTTATTTTGTGGACAAACATGTCCCAAATATTAGTCAAGTATCCAACTCACTATAATTGCAACACAAATTTTTAACTGTTTACATAAAAGCCCTCACAGTGTGATTAAATGGCACTGCCATTGTTAGGAACTAACTAATGGTGGTGGTGGAGTTAAATCCAGTTGGCAGCCAGTCACAAGTGTTGTTCCCCAGGGCTCAGTACTGAGGCCAGTTCTATTGAATATCTTTATCAATGATCCGGATGAGGGGATCGAGTGCACCCTCAGTCAGTCTGCAGATGACACCAAGTTGGGTGGGAGTGTTGATCTGCTGGAGGACAGGAAGGCTCTGCTCTGCAGACGGATCTGGAAAGGCTGCATCAATGGGCTGGGGCCAGAAGTTCAACAAGGTGAAGTGCCAAGTCCTGCCCTTGGGTCACAACAAGCCCGTGCAGCACTACAGGCTTGGGGAAGAGAGGCTGGAAAGCTGCCCAGTGGAAGAGGACATGGAGGTCCTAGTTGACAGTGGCTGAACATGAGCCAGCAGTGTGCCCAGGTGGCGCACGCTGCCAAGGCCATCCTGCCTTGTATCACAAATAGTGTGGCCAGCAGGACCAGTGAAGACATTGTCCCCATGTACTTAGCACTGGTGAGGTAACACCTCAAATAGTGTTCAATATTATACTGCACCATGAATACAGTTTTGGGACCCTCACTACAAGAAAGACATTGAGGTGCTGGAGCATGTCCAGAGATGGGCAACAAAGCTGGTGAAGGGTCTAGAAGGAGAAGAGGAAACAGTCTAAAGTAATGTGCTTTTCACTGCAACTATAATCAAACATAGTTATGGAAAGAACTTACTTCTTCAAATAACACAAGCTCCTCAAAAATAAACAAGTTCCAAACAGTCTGCATTTTTTTGTTTCAAATTATAAGTCTGATTAATAATAAAGGTCTTGGATACCATAATTACATGCTGGCAGTTCCAATATGACCATCCATAAAGCTTTTTGAGCTATAAAAAGTAAAGTTATTCTTTTACACAAAGATTTGCAAGGCAATGCAGATATATTCACAAGGGTATATGTATTCTGTTGTTCTGTAGGAATTCAGGGTTTGAGGGGGTTTCTGCCTTACGTGCTTAAGATGGGAAAAATAAATTTAATACAATGTTCTAGTATTATTTCCTAATTAAAAGGTGACAAAGAATTATCTGAATTCACCCAAAAGGAGTACTACACTATAGACAGAATGTTCCAAGCAATGCAGGCACACACAGAAAGAGTCATTGCTCTAAACATTTACAATTTACAAAGCTCATCAATGACATTTATTTAAAATAATGAGGTTACAAAACATGAGAGGCAGTTATATTAACTGATGAAGAACACATTATTTTATCTTCAGAAGTTTATTTTGATCTGTGTAATACAGTTAAGGTATAGATGAAAAGTACATTTCCTTAAAACCTAGGAAATGGTATTCATCAATAATTTAGTCAACTTCCTTAACTTCAGTAAATTTCATTGAAGCATTACGTTTTTGTAGGAATAGGAGCAGCTGTTAAAAATTCATTTGCATTAATCTGATTGTCACTCCTATGCAAAAATTATGACATCGCTAAAATCCAAGCAAAGTCGCTTTTTGCCTGGATATGCTTTTCTTTCATTCTGTGAATAAATGAAGCTTCATAAGCCTGAAAGGAAAAAAATTCAAATATCAGTAAATACAATTAAAATTTCTAAGAATCTATATGTTGCTTCATATTTTAGACAGTATATATAGTGACCCTTTAATAAACTAAGCCAGATAATTTATTTGCATATGATACATAATGAAATATTTTATGGTTCTATACTGCTATCTTATGGCCCAGTAGTGCAAATTACTAACCACTCCCTGTGAAATATTGGTCACTTTTTAAAACCAGAATAACCTTTCTTATCCATTCAAAATAAAACTTACTTCTTTTTTCAGGTAAGAACATTTGTACTTACCTTTGAAAATTAAATAAGGCAATGCTTAAATATCAATGTTTGCAAGGTGGTGACTATAAGGAAGTTACTTTCTAAGAACCAGAGTCACTATTTACAAATAATCATGACAGCAAGCATCTTACAGCATTTCTGTCAGTGCTTGCATGCAGTGATGACATTTTCCAAAATTTCTAGTGATTAGTAGCAGTTCAGATGATATAATAAACCACCAGAATACTTAGTTGGAAAAACCTTTGCTATTGCTATAGTCATTGCCATTATGAATCATGGCTATTAAAGAAAGTGCTTGAGAGGCCTTTTTTGTTTCAGTGAATGAGAAACAACAATTCAAGTTATGACACACTAACTTTTGCCTATTTCACACTTCTTTTTTTCTTCTTTTAAATAAAGATTTGGTCATTGCCAGTGAAGAAAGGTGACTCCTCACTATAGCTGGCTCACTTCTATTTTTGTATTAAGAGCTAATGAAAATACCTGACTTGTTGCTGTTCTGACCTAACTCCCACCTGCACTGAAGCTCTGGACCTAATCAAGTTAATGGCATCCCTTTCACTCTGACATCAAAGCAGATAAGTGCATAATCAGAATCTTTGCTTGCCATAATGCTAGTACAGGAATTTATGGATGCTGAGGAGAATCACCAGATTCAGACTGTCTGAACAGCCTTGTTGACTCAAAGTGAGACAGAAGCCAATAAAGGAATTTAGAGCTTGAAATTGATTTTATCTTCTAAAGCTTAAGCTCACATAAACATGTGTCTGCTTGAAGACACAAGTTGGGCGGGCGCGCGCACACACACACACACACACACACACACACACACAATCACGGATGGCAGAATTCCTTTTGCCTTTAGAATTCCCTAACTGATACATTCCATCCCCAAAGCAAACCTTTCATTAAGAGAACAATTAATTTGCTCTGACAGTTATTACATTGTCTTAAGACTTCCAGATAGAAGAGCAATGTGTAATAGCTGAAGCTGCACTTCTGATATATATTGTGTTAGAAATTGAATTAAGAACACCCTGAACAAAAGGACACTAGGCAACAATAACAGCAGATCACTACTTATATAAGTCAATAACCTAGAGCTGAAAGGCTTAATAATCCATTACTAATTACAGGACAAACAGAGCTCACAGGATTCTACTGTGCCTTACAAAACTAAATACTTTAACATATGATGTTCAGTGGAGTGAGACATTTAACAGACTCCTATGTTAAGATATGGAATTTGGAGAGAGTGGCATAAAAATACAGTTTTGATGATGACTTTAACACATTCATATGGTTTTTTAACTCAGAAGAGAAATTATGGATTTACTACTTAATTGCAAACTATCAGATTACATTGTCAGGAGTACTTAAATGGCATCTATGTAAGAAAGTAAATTGAGACCAATTTTATTGTAACAAATGGGTAAGTTCTAGTCAAGGAGCCATTCTGCTATTTGATGAGAAATTTGTAAGGCCAGAAACTAATGAGGCCAGAGCATGTGCAAGAGCTCAGGTATACAAATGTCATAATATTTATGGTTACTCTAGTATGCTTTTCATCCAGGTTAGCTCTTGTCTGATCTCAGCTGAGGGAAGTGCTTATGCATGGCACTGTTCTCAGCAGTAAGCATGGTTGAGGCCACTTAAGCTTCTTGCATTTCAGGAGAGAGAATCAGGACAAGAGAGAGTTCAGATACATGGAATGAGTTGTACATGCCAGATGCCCATTTTGTTTAATAGTACATATGTAACCATTTAAATGGTCACTATGAGCCAATTTAAACACAGGCAAGTGAAAAATCTAAATTTAGCCCAACATTATTAGTCACAAGAGTCTATTAAAACATAATGTAAATAATTTTTAAAAAATTGAGTCCATCAAATTTTACCTCCTGAAGGTTACACAGCTGAAGATGTACATCTGCCTCTTCTTTAGTGAGGAGAATAGTATTCCATGGAGACCACTCATGCTGCTTATCCCATCTGACCATAACCAAATCATACAGGTCACTGCAGGCACTGAGAGCCGACTGAGAGTTCCATATGCTATCAATCATGTACTGCATATCTTGAGGCTGAAATGCAAAACTGGGTTAAGAAGGAAGAAGCATGTTTCATTCTACAACTGAAGTATGGCAACCGTTGGGTAAAAAAATTTTTATGCATATGTCATACAATCACTTCGTTAAAGAACATCTAGACATACACATCTTCCTTTAGCATGGTGTAGCAATTAACAACTGCATTTTTCTTGTATCATCTCTAAATTGTACTGCACTGAGCAGTGAATGAAGCTGTCATAGCTGCCACAAAAGATTTTTAGCCTTGCCTGAGTCATTTCTAGATGCCTCAGAGCTGTTTTCTAGATATAAGTGCAGAAGGGGACATGGTTGTGGGGAGGGGATGAGAAAAAAAAAAGCAAGTAGCTCAGAAGACAATTTAATAATTTAAAGAAATATTAGGGAAGAAACAGGAAAATCAGTGATTTCAGATACAAACTCCTGTTGTTTACTTATTTACAACTCTAAAGAAGAGTTAATTTGGATGAAAATTACACAGCATCTAGCGATGTTGCAACCAAAAATGGAACTGCAAGTGAGGGCTTAGGGTCTCAGCAGTGAAGAAGCAGACAGATGGTGGATCATCTGAATCTTTGACCTGTCAGCTAGACTTCTGCCTTCTTTTAGTGCATAGCTTGTAACATTTTTGAAAGCACAGCTATGTTTCAAGAGCTTAAGGGCTGCTTCTTTATGGCATGGAACACCTCCTATCATAGGAAGAAGCTGTAGTTTTTATCTTATTTCTCAACCTGTCAACAACACACACAAAATAAAGGACAAACAGTCAAAGCCACTGGTTTCCATTATTAGCAATGCTCTTTCCAACAGTACCTGAATGAAGGAAACAATTTTACTATCATCCTGATAATCAGCTTCAGACTTTCTGAGATCTTCTAGTATAAGTCTGTACTTAAAAAACGCTTGCCGCTGCCGAGCCTCATTATCAAGCTTGTAACACGAGCGACATCTGCCAATGTTGTGGGAATTAGCAGGAATAGGAAACTCAGTGGATGGTAAGTAATTTTCACAATTATGACAGAAGTAAACATTTTTATAAAGCTTCAAGGGATCAGGTGGAACCTAAGAGATTAAAAAAAAAGTTATTTTACTACAAAATGTCTTTTTATTACTCTAACTCTGTCAGAATACATTTTACACATCTTAATGCAAGTATTCTAATACATAAAAGATAGTAATATTTATTTTGAAATACCCTGTAAGGTGTTGTGTTTTTCCTTAGATAGGATACCAAAAGCCACTGTATTTTTTACTGTACTGGTTAAAATCAGTTATATGAATCAGTCATTTCATTTTTAAGCTATAAGAAGATCCTAAACATTATGCACCAGTACACTTGCTGGCACTTTTATGTATGCAGATTGTACTTTACTATTACATCTTACTGATACCATCCCATAAGATCTACCATTTATAACTCTCAGATTTTTTAGTTCAGACATCAGAGTTCCTGAGCTCTCAGTGCTACCAGCCACTTGTCATGTTCTTAAAACCATGTCTATGCCCCATGCTTGCTGCATGACCATATAAGCTTATTTGCATGAAGCCTGTGTACTTGCTACATTTTACATTTTGAGGAAATCCTTCACCAATTCTATGCCAAAATGTAAAATCAAAACCTTTCAATTTTTTCCATTCCCCTCCTCCTTAGTTCAATAGCCACTATGTCAGGCTGCAAAATAGGAATAATACCTTAAGCATCCCAGCAACTTCGGGGTTAAACTCTGGAGTTTTAATATACTGAAGAAACAATGTACAAATTCTTTTCCTCAGTCCTTCTAAATTGCATTCTTTCACCTCTCTGGACATAAGATCAACTTCCCTGTCAATTAATTCCACTATTTCCTGTGTTAATTTACACTCATACTCCTGAAAGAAAACACAAAGAAAAACAAACTCGACAACAATAAAGAAGCAAACAAACTAAATGATTCCAATGCACATATGAAAGCAAGTTATGTATTCTATGCCCACTATCAGTCATGCATATGTTCATGTGAGAACATGTTCACAGAATAACTCCTTAGTGTCTCAGGAAAACAATCTTCAATGAAACTATCATAAAGAACTAGGAAAATGAGAATGCTTACAGATTCTGCTTTAAGGGGCCTGTATATATGCACCAAAGCTGTGAGGAACTGTAATACTGGAGGCACTAAAGAATGCAAAGCAGAGGTATACAGCATGTGCAAAATTTTAAATCTCCAAAAGCCCCAAGAAATATCTCCCTAACAAGCTTCCCTTGGCTATGTGATCCAGGGTGGAATGTAGATGGTTTAATAAAAATAATACCATCACCAAGGAAAAAAATTAAATCCACACAAAAGGCATGGGGGGCTTTCAGTATGCCTGGAAACCAGTCACTGTGTATTTCAAATGCTTGGCAAGAGATTGTCCAGAGAGAGAGAAAAGAAGTGAATGAGTTCAGTGTTTTCTCAGGTAAAAGAGCTAATTTACAGAAATTCACGTGTTCACTAAAGCAATATTGACTTGTACTAAGATGGGCAAGAGTCCATACACCACCAGTGCTCCCAATGCCATATTCACTTTAGATCCTATATCTGCACTACTAAAGCAACAAGCAAGATGTTTGTTTCTTTCAATAAGATCAGGAAGGAGCATTCTATTCTAGACTGATGTCAATGGTATCATCCTGGAAGGACCTCGAAGCTCATATTTATTCTTTTTGTACATGAATAAATCAATAAAATAAATATGAAAAGACTAAATGAAATGCAACCAGTTTCTAATTCACAGGGAACACTGGCAGCAGCAGTGAGAGTGGGGAGGGAGGGGCAAAGAGAAGAAGAAAAAAAAAAATCAGTATTTGCCACCCATGAAACTGGTAACCCAAACCAACAGAGTGACACGATTCTGAACAGACATTTCAAAGAACTGCAAAAAATAAAATGGTAATAGCCACTTACATCTCTGCCATGGTTCTCTTAAGGTCGCTGTATTAAACTAAACTTTGTACTGAAACTGTATTATGGATATACAAAAAAGGATAAACCCATGGGGTTAAAATTCTAACACGACTTGAATAAAAATGTGCACACAACAAAGTGACATATGAATTTAGAATATATCTGGAATGTAAACTACACTCTCACGCCAGGTAGTACACTAGGCTGTCTTGCTGCCAGCTGATTGTTGTAGCACCCATCTGCCAGAAGCAGCAATTGCTTGTGTGTCAACATAATTAAGTGACAGTATCTTTGGGAAGTACAGCTTCAAGCCAAACATAAATAGAAAAATAAAACATACCTTCACTGTACATCTGAGTGTTAACAGCACATCTGTTCTCTCGTCTTTTGGGATGTTGTTCATGCTAATGCTGCGATAGATTTCAAATAGTTCTCTGGCACGGAGTGTGTACTGTGTATCCATTTCAGTGATTTTTCCATCATATGCTTTCCACTTCTTAGGCTGTGCACACTTCAGAAACAATTTGTAGAACTCTGAGCTATTATAATCTGACCACCAACTGAACAAGTGCATTATGTTACATCAAGTTTAATCAGAGTAAATAGGGACTTAAAATTAATACTTGACTAATACAAAAGGCTAATTCTATTGTCGATATTTACACAGTACCTCTTCCACCAGAGCAAGCAATGAATTTCACACTTTGTTTAAAGTTGCAGGTAATGAAAATTTCAATTTATAGTACATTAAAAGAAAATTATAATCTCCTACAGGGATATGTTCTACCCTTTTAATGTGAATTTACAGGCAGCAGTGCTAGAATACATTTGCCCTGTGTTTCATCTTGCTGTCATAAATCTCTCCAAACTATCAGTAAAATCAATGGTCTGTTGACTGTGTAAAGAGTGCGAATTTAAGACCTCAGAGTCTACTGCAGTACAAAATATCTCCAGGGAACTGTTCTGTTCATGTTAGTTGCACAGATGGATAGAAGGCACAGACTTTGTTAAAGCTAAAACAAGGTATGAGTTTACAGCTTATCAGATACTTCACCTTGCCTTCACCATATGCCTTCTGCTTCAATGGTCTCTTTGCACATCTTGAACTTTTATAGACAGTGAGAAGTTACGTGATGTCATCTGCCCTACTGGGTTTGAAAAGTCCAACCGTTCTTTTCTTTCCAGAAGACTGGTTTTGGTTGCAAATCACAGTGTTCCATAAGGAGATAGGTATACAATTCCAATAGAAAAAGAGGTTTCAAAATCCTCTCCCCATCATTACTAACTCCATTCCCTTTACTTGAATGGGACAGGTATTTGGAACCTCACTCAGTGTGTATTAATTATTCTCTTTCACTCTACTTGGAACTTGAGTGTTTACGAACACTCAAAAGCTTCACCTTACAGTCTCAATGCGAGTAAGCAACACTTCATGCAGCACTCACATGCCTAGTAGTTTTCTGGACATGATCCCAGCATTGACGTAATCATTATTTTGACCAAATATACATGCTTGCTATGGTGATAAGTCATAAAAATACCAAGAATATTAGATAGCTAGAACAGATTAGTAAACACCACAACAAAACCAGAATTTTCCTCACTTTTAAATAAATAAAGTTAGGCAAGCAAAAGAAAGACAAAATAATTGGAAAAAATAAGTATTGAACACTGAAGAACTGACATTTAACTACATTTTTAGTGGGGGTGTAGCTCTATTTAAGGGAGGTATTGTTAATCAGAGGTCACAATCCAGAGCCAAAACTGACTAAAAAATGCACTAGCAAAACCAGACATTAATTAAAAAAAAAATCCAAACCAAACCAACTATTAATTCCTTAGTGAAATCTTTGAATTTCTGCAAAACTATAAAAAGGCAATTATCTCTGTTATAAATACATAACATTCTACTGTAACTTCATTACTTTGTTTCACTATCTTTGTACAGTTCTTAGAAATGCTTTGTACAATTCTTAAAAAAACCCCAAACCCAAAACACATCTCAGAACCCCCCACAAACCGTACACATTGCCAAAGCAAACAACAAAACTCTCACCAGCTTAGAAGGTCTATCATGCTGTCACTCCTATGTTAGGCTGGGAAAAAAACACTTTTCCACATAGTGGTTAATTCAGTACCTACATTTGATCCTCTTCAATGCAATCACTTATAATAAGACAGAAAGGTCATTTGCTTATGCAAGGGATAATCAATGGGTAGAGTTTACTCTAGGAAATAGTTATTCAAACTAGATTCTTCTGATAAATTTACAAAACCCAAAGAGGTGCAAGCAATCTTGGTATTCCACTCTGCAAATGACCCTTAACACTGAGCAATTATATTATGATAGCTAATTCTTCAAAGATATATCTGTAAGTTCCGTAATGTTTCTTACTACCTCATCACATCTGGGTACTAAATAAAATAAAATATTTTAAAAATAATT